GTATTGCAACTCTCAGTCCCATTACATATTTTCCACACTCCCCTCACCACCGTTACCCCTTGCCCAAAGGATATCAACACATCTCCGCACCAATATCACATATCTGCAATATATTCAAGGAAAAATACTCAACATTTTAGGGCACACATGACAACACCCTCACTAACCACCCACCAAAGTCCAACCTTCTTCTAGAGAACAAGCAAGAACTTAACCCAAAAGTTGTCTTCTCCACCTGCTGTCTCACACACAAAAAACTGGTGAAGAACCCATTCATAATAAGCCCACCTCACCTAACCCAGCAAAGACCACACTCCCATCAACAGTAGTGCACTAAAAGCTCAAACTTAACACTTACCTCATGGATGCAAGCAGCTCCTCTGCTCCCACTGGCACCACCATTACCAGGAACCATGTAAACCAAACAGGGCGCACTTGCCACAGCCCATTCCTTCAGTTCTGGACTCAGATCCTCCTGTGGCACACAAACAATAAATGCCACATGATTGCTAAATGCCACAACAGCACAATACCACACTCCCTTTGCTAAACTGACCTATTCAACACCCCGAAAGAGCCCCAGCACATCCATATCTACAATGAAGCAGCAACCAACTACTTCTATACAATTAAAATGAACATGCAAAATACTCACAATTTACACAATACTCATGGCCCTTTCCCACCATGACAGGGGCCCATCAGTAACTAGGATGCTCACATCCTCCTCAGAAAACCAACACCCAATAGAAGACAGACAAACAAGGTAGTGGTGACCACTGATGCAAACCCAGTGCCATGTAAGAGAGAATAACTGAGAATGGAGCATCTCTAGTTACAGGGAAAACACACACTCCCACCATACAATGAGTTCCCTCACACAACCATTAAGAAGGAGCAGAGTTTAGAGGACTGCCATCCCTAAACAAGAAGCCTCAACAGCACAAATACTTCTGACGATCAAACCCTTAGGCAGATACTTAACTTTGACGGCCACTCCCAATCTCCTTTTCCTTTGTACACGGGCCTTCGCTCCCATACATCGGCATCCATCCAGCACAGACATACAGCTATGCCGCGACAGACAAAGACAGAACTAGTCACAACCCTCCACGGAACGAGGCGACGCAGTACCAGATATGGACGCACCTGCAAATACAAACAAAGCTTGACTGAAAACCTACTCGCAAAGCTCCCAACTATACAATATGAAAGATGACCTCACCTGCATACTGCTTCCTTGAGAGGGAACACCTACTACACATTACACCCCCCTCAGAGAAAACTCTCATCCACATGGAAAATGGCTACACTTCTAAAATACTGGTGGCCCTCCCCCTTTCCCTCCGCCACAGGGAGACATCGCTAACTAGGATGCTCACATCCTCCTCAGAAAACCACCACCATGTAGAAGATGGACAAAGAAGGTAGTGGTGACCTGTCATGCAACCCCAGTGCCATGTAAGAGAGAAGAACTGAAAACGGAGCATCTCTAGTTAGACAGAAAAAATCTGCCAGCAATCAGCATTCCTCCAGGGAAAACACACTCCATTCATACAGTGAGCTCCCTCACGTGCCCATTAAGAATAAGCACAGTTTAGAGGACTCCCATCCATAATCAAGAAGCCTCAACAGCACAAATACTTCTGACCATCAAACTCCTCAACAGATACTTAACTTTGATGGCCACTCCCACTCTCAAGATCTTCTTTTCCTTTCTACACAGGCCTTCGCTCCCATATGTCAACATCCATACAGCAATGCCGTGACAGTCAAAGAAAAGTAGTCACGCCCCACAGTACCAGATCTGGACACATCTGCAAATACAAAGAAAGCTTGACTGAAAATCTACTCACAAAACTCCCAACTACACAATACAAAAGATGACTTCACCTGCATACTACTTCCTGAAGAGAAGGAACATCTATTACACGTTACACCCCCACTCAGAGAAGCCCCACCCCCACCCCAAACACTCTCATCCACATACTGGTGGCCCTCCCACTTTCCCTCCACCACAAGGGCTGATCGCTAACTAGGATGCTCACATCCTCCTCGGAAAACCAACACCCAGCAGAGGAGAAAAGAAGGATGAAGTGGTGACCTGTCATGCAAACCCAGTGCTGTGTAAGAGGGGACAACTGAAAATGGAGCATCTCTAGTTACAGACAGGTCACTCTGACAGCAATCAACCTTCCCTCAGAGGAAACACACACTCCCTCCATACAACAAGCTCCCACCCACCCCTCACGTGCCCATTAAGAACAGGTAGAGTTTAGAGGACTCCGATCCCTAAACAAGGAGCCTCAACAGCATAAATACTTCTGACCATCAAACACTTCGGCAAATACTTAACTTTGAGAGCCGCTCCCAAGATCTTCTTTTCCTTTCTACACAGGCCTACGCTCCCATACATTGGCATCCATCCAGCACCGACGTACAGCTATGCCGTGACAGACAAAGACAGAACTAGTCACACCTCTCCACGGAACAAAGCAACGCAGTACTGGATCTGGAAGCATCTGCAAATACAAACAAAGCTTGACTGAAAACCTACTCACAAAGCACCCAACTACAAGGTATGAAAGATGACCTCAACTGCATACTGCTTCCTGAAGAGAAGGAACATCTACTACACATTACACCCCCCTCAGAGAAGCACACACCCACCCCAGACACTCTCATCCACATATTGCTGGTCCTCCCCCTGTCCCACCAAAACAGGGGCCCATCGCTAACTAGGATGCTCACATCCTCCTCGGAAAACCACAACCATGTAGAAGACGGACAAGGGATGAAGTGGTGACCTGTCATGCAAACCCAGTGCTGTGTAAGAGGGGACAACTGAGAATGGAGCATCTCTAGTTACAGACAGGTCACTCTGACAGCAATCAACCTTCCCTCACGGGAAACACACACTCCCTCCATACAACAAGCTCCCACCCACCCCTCACATGCCCATTAAGAACAGGTAGAGTTTAGAGGACTCCGATCCCTAAACAAGGAGCCTCAACAGCACAAGTACTTCTGACCATCAAACCCTTCAGCAAATACTTAACTTTGACGGCCACTCCCACTCTCAAGATCTTCTTTTCCTTTCTACACAGGCCTTCACTCCCATACATCGACATCCATACAGCAATGTCATGACAGTCAAAGAGAAGTAGTCATGAGCCTCCACAGAATAAGACTATTCGGTACCAGATCTGGACACATCTGCAAATAAAAACAAAGTTTGACTTAAAATCTCAGTTATAAACTCTACTCATAAAGCTCCCAACACCACAATATGAAAGATGACCTCACCTACATACTGCTTCCTTGAGAGGGAACACCTACTACACATTACACCCCCAGTCAGAGAACCCCACCCCAAACACTCATCTACACAGAAAATAGCTATGCTTCTACATACTCGTGGCCCTCCCCCTTTCCCTACACCACAGTGGCCCATCACTAACTAGGATGCTCACATCCTCCTCAGAAAACCACAACCATGTAGAGGAGAACACAAGGATGAAGTGGTGACCTGTGATGCAAACTCAGTGCTGTGTAAGAGAGAAGAACAGAGAACGGAGCATCTCTAGTTACAGACGGGCCACTCTGCCAGCAATCAACCTTCCCTCAGGGGAAACACACGTTCCCTCCATACAACAAGCTCCCGCCCACCCCTCACGGGCCCATTAAGAATGGGCAGACTTTAGAGAACTCCCATAAGTAAAGAAAGAGGCTCAACATCACAAACGCTTCTGACCATCAAACCCTTTGGCATATACTTACCTTTGGAAATTGGACAGGAGCTCCCCCTCTCAAGATCCCCTTCACCTCAGTAGACAGGCCTTCACTCCCATTCATTGAAATCACTCACAAACATACAGCACCAGCATGACAGACAAAGAGAAAAATATTCGCAACCCTTCACATCACAATACGACTCGATACCGGATCTGGACAGAGCTGCAAATATAAAGAAAGCTTGCCTGCAAACATGGCTTATAAACTCTACTCACAGGGCTCTAGAAAACTGAGTAGAAGAAAATACAGAAGGTTAAGAGAAGAAACACTTACTAAATATTACAATCTCCTCAGATTAGTCCCCACCTAACCCAAACAGAAAACTGCTATGCTTCTACAACAGTCCACCACCATGGACATGCTACCAGTACTAGATATGTGTTTAACAGAAGCTCTATCAGAAACAGCCCCCAATATCTTCCCTCCCAATGAAAATACAAATGATAACATATAAATCAAACACACTATAAACAAGCTGAAATGAAAAAAAAAAGCACATTACACAGAAATAAGGACAGAAAAACAGTACATTAACCACAAATACATGTCATTGTTACCCCATATCAATACTCACCATGACTATAAACACCCATACAAGCACCTATGCACATCTCTTTGGACCAACACAAAGCCGAATGACTTCCTGGGACAAGACCCCAGCTTATATACTGCCTAAGCTCCACCCCCTCTATTTCCCAGCATGCCTTAGAAGCCAAAGGCAGCTATAAATACAGACTCAGGCAACCCAGAAACCCTTTAGTTCATTCCTAGCTTAGCAGCAGCAAGGACTATTCATCTTGATGTATTAATCAGCCTTCCTTCTTACAATAAAAATTTATAGAAGACAAACTCTATCACCGGGTAACACTTACCATATTTTAGGTTCCTAAAAAGAAAATTCTACCTAGAGGGAAGAGGGGACTCCACAGTAGGTGCAGTTGGGGACTGCTGAAAGAGGTATCTCAACAGTCCTGGAGGGATTTGTTTGTACTGTGAGACGGTATTTGGGGGGTAATGGAAAGATTACTTGGCTGGTGCTCGAGGGCATACCTAGAGCCTCACGCTCAAGATGGAGGGAAGTGTCACTCCCTGTCAAGCTGCCCGGGCAGCTGACACAGGCCAGAGACACTGCACCATCGCCATGACCAACTTTACAGAAAATGGCAACCTGTGCAAACTTGTACTTTGCCCCCGGGCTACCTCCCCCCTATTCCCTGCACGCCCCTCTGCCTCCTCCGAGTGCTTAATTTACATAGACAAAGGTCACATAGCTCTACCCTGGCACAAATTAAGCACTGTATGGGCAGCCAGAGAGCAGTGGCTGCCAGGTAGGCACCCATCTCTTAAGGCAGGGGCAGGCAAACCTTTTGGCCTGACAGCCACATCGGGTTTTGGAAATTGTATGGAGGGCCAGTTAGGGGAGGGGTGTGTGGCCACCCAGGACCCCTGCCCCATCCACCCCCCCCCCGCTCCATGTCCCCTGACCACCCCCAGAACCCCCCTCGACTGCCCCCAAATGCCCCATCCAACCCCCCCTCCTTCCTGACTGCCCCCCAGACCCCTGCCACCATCCAACCCCCCTGTTCCCCATCCTCTGACCACTCCAACCCCTATCCACACCCCTGACCACCACCCTGAACTCCCCTGCCTTCTATCCAACCCCCCTGCTCCCTGCTCCTTTACCATGCTGCCTGGAGCATCAGTGGCTGGCAGCTCTACAGCCACACACCACAGAGCACTGGGTCAGGCCAGGCTCTGCAGTGGCGCTGCCCCAGGAGCTCGCAGCCCCACCACCCAGAGCATTGCACCAGCAGCAGGGCAAGCTGAGGCTGTGGGGGAGGGGGGACAGCAGGGGAGGAGCCGGGGCTAGCCTCCCAGGCCAGGAGCTCAGGGGCCAGGCAGGAGGGTCCCATGGCCTGGATGTGGCCCACAGGCCATAGTTTGCCCACCTCTGTCTTAAGGCAACACCACCACCCCCAGCATAGCATAGCATAGCACATTGCCACCCTTACACATCCACTGCTTCTGCAGCTTGTGGTGCCTGTGCACCCATCAAGCAGCGCAAGGCCAACTTCATGCTGTCACACAGGGGGTTGCAACTTGCCAGAGCCCACAGCCCTCTTGCCACCTGTGGCTCACCAGAGGCAACATTTCATATTTGTGGGGAAGGCAATTTTAATGATGATTCCTGGGGCTATTTGAGCACCTGAAAACTCCAGGTTTCTTGCACATAACAACTTAGATACAGTATTCCTGTCAGCTAAATCCTAATTCTTATATTGAAAAATAAATAAAAAAATATAAACGGAAAATGTGGCTTTAATTGCAGTTTGTATATATGTAAGTTTAGAACAATCAGGAGATAATACAGCAAGACATTCCCATTCCCAAGCCTCAGGGTGGAGCTTTAACACAGGTATCAGAAACCCAAGTTTGATATTTTGTACACTATTGTTGGTATCATTAGGCATAACCCTAGGTAACTCGGGAGGGTGGAAGACCATGAGTGTCAATGAAGCCTTCCTGCACTAGGCCTAAATGAACCAAACTCCTTCCATGTTTAAACTCTAATCGACCTCAAAAGCCAGATGTAGAAATTGGAATGCGTAACAATTTATCAGGTGCAGCACCGCTTATATCGGTACCAAGCGGTAATAATGAGGCCTGCATACTTCTGGCTGAAAGGCAAGATAACAAATCAAAGGAAAGGGACAAGATAATAATTCAAGGAGAAGTTACTAACAAGCTGGACTTATAGCCGCCAAGATGACTTAACTGCTTAAATGTAATTGCTTGCTACTTGCTTAATGTAAACTATTATAGGAGGAGGGAGGGTGAAGGGGGGGTGAAGGGAAAAGCCTAGCTGCAAAAAGAATAAAAAGGGAAAACTGCTTGTCTCAGTGTGCTTGATCTGAGACATGCCAGTCTTCTTGCACCGCTTTGAGATCTCAAATAAATGTTGATTGCTTCTCCACCCTGGTGTGTTCACTGGCACAAAGCACACCGGGCAACGAACCCCGCT